AAAAGGCATTAGTCCTTCGACTTATAACCACAATTGAGCCCCAAATTTATGTTGCTAAGCGAGACATTTGTTGAGTTTTGCTCTGTTGTATGACATTTCCTGCCACAGTTGTCAAAGCGAATCCCTGCAGTTGATGAGTTGCTAACCAGGTTGTTAAGTGAATCTAGCTTCCCCATTGACTTCGCTTGTCAGAAGGGTGCAAAGAGTGATCCTGCGACCCTGAGCCACTGCAACGGTCATAAGTATGAACCAGTTGCCAAGCATCTGAATTTTGATCACGTGACCACGGGGATTCTGCAACAGTCGTAAGTGCGAAAAGTGGTCATAAGTCACCTTTTTCAGTGCTGCTGTAACTTTGAACGGTCATTAAATAAACTGTTGCAAGTTGAGGGCTACCTGTACATGAATGTACTAAGAAGGCATGTTCTATATCAGGGGTCCCCAACTCCCCCACCCCCGTCCACGACTCAGTGCCAGGCCGTGGCCCATTCAGAAATGGGGTATGGAAACGGCAGGCAAGCACGCACATGTGCTACGCTGCCTTTGTGAAAGCGGCGTGTGCACGCGCAAAACCATTTCCTCTCTCCCATCACCTCACTGCTGCCACCTCTATTGGTCCGCCAAGCTGGGAAGATTGGAAACCACTGTTACCTATATATATAAAAGCGAAATACCACTCCCGCATCATCACAAAATCCCCAGAATCGTAAAGCCTACAAACTTGAAATTTGGCACGTATATTCCTCTTGGCTTCTAGGTGCTCACTAAGAAATGATTTTTTGAAATGACCATCAGAGCATTAGTATTTCCTATATTATTATTATTATTATTAACACGCTCTGATGCTTAAGGAGTTCTACTCCCACTCCCCACCTGAAAAGAAATCTGTTCCAAATACAAAACACAAGCAGAGGAGTTTGTTTCAGTTTTAGTTTCACAGCACCAAGCAGCTTTAGTACAGAACAGTTGAGTTAAGTTCTGTACTAAATAGTTGAGCTAAGCCACAGCCAGACTCCTAGCTTTCTCCTTCTTGCTCACACAGCAAATACTGCTTCAGTTTCCAAACAGCCCTCAACTCTCACACACACACTGACAGGATGCTAGCCAGATGAATACCGATTGGATGCTGGTAGGCAGAGGCAGATTTTTTTCCTTCTTATTTTCCTCCCAAATAACTAAGCCTGACCACATAGTTTCGTAGCAAAGCATGGGTATCGAGCTAGTTATATATATTTCTACAGTCAAAATTAATTCTCTACTTCTTTTCAGCCCTCCTGAAAATAGAGGTAGTCCTTGACTAATGTCCACAACTGAGCCCAAAATGTTAAGCAAGACAGTTGATAACTGAGTGGTGCCCCATTTTATTATCTTTATGCCACAGTGAAGCAAACCACTGCAGTTGCTAAATGAATCATGCAGTCGTTAAGCCAATCTGGCTTCAGCCATTGACTTTTTGCTTGTTAGAAATCAGATGGGAAGATCACAAATGACAATCAAATGAACTGGGGACACTCTAACTCTCATAAATACACGTCAGCTGTCAAATGCCCAAATTTTGATATGGGAAGGCTGCAATAGGCCTAAGTGGGAAAAACAGTCATAAATCACTTTTTTTCAGTGCCGTTGTAACTTTGAACTAGACAACTGGTTGTAAGTTGAAGACTACTTGTAGCACTATGGTAGCGTAGCTGAAAAAGAGGTATACAGGTCATCGTGAAAATAGCTGCATACTGTTTTGTTTAATCAATCTAATAAAGCTATTGATATAATACAAAATTTTAAGGCATTTCATTACACATAATCCTGTATATCAGGATTCTAGGTAAATGATAAAATCATTAATCTAAGAGGCAGTGCTATTTTTAGACAATTCACAACCATAATTGCAAAAGAATTCTGGTCTCATAGAAGCCACATGCAAAGTAACTGTGTAAAATCAGATACTTTTTTCTGTTTAGACTAGTTGTCAAGTGACTAAACTCTTTCCTTGCATAATCTCTCTTCGGAACAGATGATATAAAATTGTAAGAACACAGATGTCACACCTTCTCCTAAGTGAAGGCATATTCATATTAAACCTCATGTTTATGTTATGTTATGAAATGTTATGTTGCTAGTCCATATAGGATATCCCAAATGCTAAATAAATTGAAAAATCCACATGGCACGAAATGATTGAACACAGAGCATGCAACTTTTGAGGAACCAGGAGCATATATATTTTTTTCAATCAGTACTGGAATGGCTTAGGATTATATGGGTCATAAAAGTGACATCATCAGAGGGATGAAATTGATTTCTTACCTGATTGGGGAGGGAGAGTAACCAGTTTGGTCTAGTGTAGGGGTGTCAAACTCACATCATCATGGTGGCATCACATGACATAGCGGGACTTTCCCCCTCTTCGCTAAACCGGGCATGGGCGTGGCCAGCGCATTACGCATCCGGCCCATGAGCCGGGAGTTTGACAGCCCTGATCTGGTGGTTAAGGGATTAGGCTAGAAAGCAGGAAGATGTTGAGTTCAAGTCCTGCCTTAGCCATGAAAGCCAGCTGAGTGACTTTGGACCAGTCCCTCTCTCTCTCAGCCCAACTCACCTCACAGGGTTGTTGTTGTGGAGAAAATAGGGGGAGGAAGGTGTGTTGGATATGTTCGCACCATGAGTTATTTATAAAAATAATAAAGGTGGGATACAAATACATAAAAAACAAAAATAAATTAACAGGAAGATAACAGAGATTTAACACACATGTACCTATTTTATACAATTAACTCTTACAGATTCAAGGCTACATATAGGTTCCCCAAAATTCTTTTATTCTTTTATGGTAGGAAAGACCTGTGGTATAAGGGTACTTCTTTCAATTACATTTCAGTAAAAGGATGATTTCTCTGTTTAATCATGGCTATATATTGCCTTCACATTAACTTGGGGTTAACTAAACTGATTTGCATACCAGGATGGGAAATTAAATCTCCCACAGCTTCAGTGACACAATAAAACAATTGAATTCACACCACAAACTAATTCAATTTTCCAGAATTAGTTCCATGGTCTGGTTATTTTTTGAGTTCACTGAACTTAATAACATTTTACCTTATATGACCCCAGTCCTGGATTATTTCTACATATCTTATCTAGACTTTTGAGGTATATGAATCTAATTGCCATGAAAATCTCTTTTCTCTGGAGTTTTATTTACACACAGAATACTCAAAAGCCACACCATAAAATGAGGCCACAGTTCCGTAGCAGTTATTCTATATTTAGGGTTGATATATGACTTCCCAGCTCTAGGTGGACGTAGCTTGGAGAAAAGAACTAGCATTTGAATTCACAATTGGCATTGACTGGGTCCACAAAGCATACTATACTAGTGGCCAGGTTTGAAAATCTAACTTAAAAAATTTACAACCCATACTATTTATATAATAGGCTAACTTCAAACCAATTATGTTTTAGCATGTTATGCAAAGGAGGCCACTAACCTGCCTCACAGCCAGCCAGCCTTGCCTGAGTTGTGACTTCTGATTCTAAATTCAATTTGCAATTTAGCTTCCCTTGATATGGATACTGTGGCCCTCCCCAAAGACCATCATTCTGGGATTGATGATTGTTTACATTCATGTGACCTTTAACCTTTCAGAGGCAGGACAGCCCTGGGCTCTCCAGTGAGATCAAATCCCAACAGAACTGATTATAGCAGTGACAATTATGTCTATGGAGATTCTCAACCAAGTCAAGGTTGTCCCAATGGTGCTTTTCCAAAAGGGAATTGGACTTTTCTTGTGTTTTTTCTTTGAAAACATTTCGTTTCTCACTCTTGAATAAGAAACAGAAACATTTTTCAAAGAAAAAAAACCCTTTTTTTCTTTGCCTTTTGGAAAAACACCATTGGGTCAATGACCAGCAACTTATATATTGCTTTGAACAAAGCTCAAAGAGAACCTAGAATACAAAGTAAGTACAAATATTCCTCAACTACAACAGTTTACTTAGTGACCATTCAAAGTTACAACTGAAAAAGTAAGTTATGACCATTTTTCACACTTATGACTGTTTCAGCATCCCTATAGTTATGTGATTTACTTTTAGGTGCTTGACAACTGACTTATATTTATAACGGTTGTAGTGTCCCAGGGTCACATGATCCCCTTTTGCGACAAGCAAATTCAATGGGGAAAACCGGATTCATTTAATAACCATGTCACTAATTTATCACCTGCAGCGATTCACTGAACAAATGGGGCAATAAAAGTCGTCAAATGGGGCAAAACTCACAACTTTCTCACTTAGCAACCTCAATTTTGGGCTCAATTGTGGTCGTACCTTGAGGACTACCTGTATCAACCTAGGCTGCCATTTTACTCCAGACTAACTCAAGCTACCCTATCTGAAATACTGATCCCATCAATAAACCCAGTTAAGTGGCTGTTTCACCATGGTTTGTTTATTCAATTTCTATAGCCGCTCATTTCAGACAAGTAATTCTGGGCAGTCAACCTACGTACATATAAAAACAGTTAAAACCAGGACAGGCACCATACCTATGATACATATACCCATGCATATACATACATACATACATACATACGAATTCATATTTTTATCTACCTCTCAGAGGGCAAAAAAAATTAAGACCATAAATATCAATACAACCAAGAAACGGGGCCCTGCACTGGAGGGGGAGTTTGCCTAAGTCCCTAAGGCACGGTTGGGTTAAACAGGGAATGGATCCACACGTGCTAAATACACGCGGTTTAAGCTCACGAAGCATTAAACCCGTGTTGGCCAAGTAACGTCTGGACCCACATAGCTCGCTTAGCACTTCTGGGGATGTAAGACCTCCGCCTGCAGCAAAGCATTTGCTAGCCCCGGTCTCCCCGACTCGCTGCCTTCCCCAATGGTCCACGTTCCCCCGCCCCACCTTTTCGCGGCTAGCGGGGCATAAAGAGGACACCCGGCCCCGTTAGCAACCCTTTCCGGCGGTGCCGACTCACCGGCTCCGGTTTCCCGGGGGAAGGAAAAGGCGATGCACCCTGCTCCCCCACCTGTCTGCGCAACCCCCCCTCCGGATCTCTTCTGGGACCTGTCGCGCGTCCCCACCGCTAAATTGCGACCTTGCGCGTTCCCGTCGCCCGGATTTCCCACCCACTCTCCCCCTGCGCGCGACCGTTTCTAGCCACGCCCTCCGCCGGCGATCTCCATCTTTTCACGTCGTCACCACTTTCCCTTCTCGGGGAAAGGGCCGAGTCCGCGGAGATCACGTGCCCCCGAGGCCCCGCCCAGGCACGTGAATCAGAGCTTGCATGACGGGAAATGAAGTTCTCCTGAGCTCCGAGTTCGTAGTGTTTTTCCTCCCTTCCTGGTCTCCGCCTACGCAGAAACCATGTTGTTTCCTAGGCTACCTGCGGAGTTAAAGTTGCTTGTTTAAATATTTCTGTGTCAAAGCAAACTCATGTTTTGAAGGGGAAGCCCATTTCACAGAGGGGCAAATTGATGCGACTAAAAGAAAAGTTAATTTGCCTGCAAGTGAACACAACACAGAGCATAACAACCCTGTGGGATCGCAAAGGTGTTTTAAAAGGCAATTGGACTTTTCTTGGTTTTTTTCCTTGAAAATGTTTCAGTTCTCATCCAAAAAGCTTCTTCAGGTCTTGGATGAGAAACAAAATGTTTTCAAGGAAAAAACTCCCAAGAAAGTCCAGTTGTCTTTTGAAAAAAAAAAAAAAAGTTTTTCCCCAAAAGCCATCACTCTGCTAAACAAATAATTCCCTCAACACTGTTCATCTATTTACCAAGTCTGCACTACTGTTACTGTTAATCTTCTCATTACTCCTTATCGCCCATCCTGTCGCTTGTGACCGTATGACTGTAACTTTGTCGCTTGTATCCTTATGATTTTTAATGACAGTTTCCTAGTATGATTTGATTGTTGATTGTACCCTGTGACTATTATTAAGTGTTGTACTTTATGATTCTTGACTTTTGACGAATGTCTCTTTTCTGTTATGTACACTGAGACCATTTGCACCAAGACAAATTCCTTGTGTGTCCAATCACACTTGGCCAGTAAAGAATTCTATTCTTTTGAAAAGCATCTTTGGGACCATAGAGATTCTCAGTCACCCAGGTCATAGTTATCCCAAAAGTGCTTTTTCAGGAGACAACTGGACTTCGTTCCCCCCCCCCTTTTGAAGACATTTTGCTTCTTATCCAAGAAGCTTTTTCAGCACTGACAAGATAGTGAGGAATGGAAGGATTTATATCCCTTGCAGACAGTTGGTAATTTGCATCCTTTAGACTCTTAAGCAAGGGTCTTCAAACTTGGGAAGTTTAAGTCTTGTGGACTTCAACTCCCAGAATGCCTGAGCTAACATGACTGGAGGAGGAATTCTGGGAGCTGAAGTCCACAAGTCTTAAAGTTTGAAGACCCCTCCTTTAAGTTTAGAGGGTAATTGGAGCAAAAAGAAAAAAACAAGAAATTTGGGACAACCATCACCTGGATGACAGAGAATCTCTACAGATATACAATTTGGGATGAACATCCTTGGAATGTCGTGAGACTAGGAATGGATTTCCAGAGAACAAAAAAATTGCAGACTACAGGAACCAGGAGATCTAACTCAGGTGACCCTGATGACACAGATAAACCTCCAAGTGCTTCAATAACCCCCTAAGGATGCAAATGACCAGCTGTCTGCAAGAAATATAAATCCTTCCATTCCCCAGTATCCTGTCAGAGCTGAAGAAGCTTCTTGAATGAGAAGCAAAAAATTGTCTTCAACAGAAAAAAACAAGTCCAGTGGCCTCCTGAAAAAGCACCTTTGGGACAACCATGGCCTGAGTGACTGAGAAGCTCCATAGACAGCCCTGTGGGATCAAGCTAAAGATGTTCTCCCAGGTCAAATGTCATAAATATATGCAGGTTGCCATATGCTCAAATTCTGATCATGTGAGGGGATGCTGTGACAATTGTAAGTGCAAGGACTGGTTTTTTTTCAGTGATTTATATTTTTGAATGGTCCTTAAAGTTGTAATGTTGTAAGCTGAGGACTATCTGTGTGCTGTACAAATGTGTAAGCTTTGCCATTTCTTAACTCACACACACACCCCGTCCACTTGTCCAATTCCAGAAATGCTTGTTATAGCTGCAGCAAATCTAGCTATTTTGAATGGCACTTACTCAATACAGGGCCAAAGCAGAGTTTCAAACTCACGGCCTGCCAGCCGGAGGCATCATGTGCTGGCCCTGCCCTCACCCGGTTTAGCGAAGGGGAAAAAAGTCCCGCTACGTCACAATGACACCGTAACGATGCAAGTGACACCCCGATGTATGGACTTCAACTCCCAGAGTGCAACATAAACAAGCTCTCTTTAACTGCTGTGTTTGTAACTTAAACTAATTTATTAGTTGTAAACTAAACTAATATTGGCATGCAAAAAAGGGGAGGGGGAGAGAATTGGGACTCAGCACATAATATATATATATTGCTTTCACTTTCACTTCGCTTTTTTATTCACTTTCCTGGTTTTATAATCTAGTTCCGCATCTACGGTACAATTGCATTGAAGTCTCCCACTACACAAATATTTTCGTGCTCCAATTCTATTTTCTTATGTAGTTTACTATAAAAGCCCTTGTTTACTATTTGGTGCATAAATTTCTATATCAGGAGTATCTGTTTATGATTGTTATCTCCACCATTAAAATCCTCCCTTCTTCATCCATAATTGTTTGCTTAGTGTTTATGGTTTCTTTTATATAGAGAGTTACTCCTCTCTTCTTATGTTGTAATAGAGAGGTGTATAGTTTCCCAATTTTGGGGTATTCCAATAATTTATTGTTTTTTAATACGTACTTCTTGTAAGCAAATTATATCCAGCTTTAATTTTTCTAATTTACTAAAAACTAATTTACTAGTTGTAAACTAAACTAATATTGGTATATAAAAACAGGAAGGGCAGAGAATGTAATATATACAGTATATTGCTTTCACACTTTATTCAAATTCTAAATCAGTTAAATTTGCATTTTTCCTAGGCAAAGGGTTGTAGTCTCCTTATTCACTAACACAGATCTCAGATAAACAATAAACTCTCTAACCCCAGAGAATTTTTCCCAATCACCCATCTGTCTTGAATTGAAAAGGTGTCATGGGCATATCCTAAAGTGTAATCTTCACTTCATATGGGAGACAGAACTTCCCTATGACTTCATGAAAAACATACACGGATCTTAGAATGCACCAATTGAAAAACTACACCGCAGATAAAATAATACAGTTACAACAATAAACAGTAAGGTTTATTTGCTGCTACGGCAGTCTTGGGTGTTATTCTAATTAGGGAGGTAGACATTATCAACCAAAATACAGGAATTTGCATAAAAACTTCCAAAAAGGACATTTTCCCTTTGTGACATTTTATTGGTATTGTCCCCCCCCCCTCACGTGTAATATCTGCTTTTAAAAAGTTTTCTATACCTTTGTGAGGAATCAGCAAAAGGGCAGCTCTGCAGATGCTAATTTAGAAACAGCAAATTAGTAGCGATCAATACATTCACCATTAGTGTTCAAATTTTTACAATGCTGCTTTCTTTTTAGCTACTGTGAGTATGATCTTTTGCTTCAAAAAACAAACAAACCTATGGATCATCATCAATGAAGGTTTTTAGGATTTTTTTTTGAAACAAGTAGCAAAATTGACAGTTACGGTTTTAATAAAATATGGACATTAAAATTGTTAACACTCTTCTATTGCACAGCACATTAGGGTTCCAGCCACCCCAATTTTCAACAACAGCAAGACAATATATTAAAACTATTTTCAAGGACACAGCTAGAACTATTCCAAGGCTCCCTGGGGTGATGGGTGTCTATACATATTCCAAATTTCCATTCAGGTAAATGTGCAATCAGTAAAATATCCATGTGGGGACAACACTGTGAGTTCATTTCCTATAACAGCCTTGACCCCATAGCAGAAGCGTAACTAATCCATCTTTTTGTCGGAGTCTTCTTTGGGCCCAATTCCAGAAAATCCATTTGCAATGCCATTGCTTTTGGTCTGAAAGACAGGGGCGAAAGGGAGGGAGGGAGAAAAATAGAGATTTTTAAATGCACATTCATTCCAACACAAATTTGAAAGACAAAAACCAGAATAGTAACTAGCTGGCCCTAAGATGCTTCTCTTGGTTCTAGAAAGATCAAGTTCCTTTTTAGATCAGTGGTCCCCAACTATTTTGGCACCAGGAACTGTTTTAATGGAAGACAATTTTTCTATGGACCAGGCCGGGGGTAGGGTGAGGAGCATGCAACCGGTAGTTCTTACACATATGCCGTTTCACTCACCTGCCTCTCACTTCCAGTTGTATGGCCACGGACCAGTAATGGGGTTTGGAAACCCCTGTTTTAAATTATGCTTAAGATAGCCTTGGGGATGGAAGGGAGCCGAGTTGGAATTATCACTGATTAGAGTTATAACTTTTTTATTGTTTATTTAAAGGTCCTCGCTTAATGACTGGTTGCTTAATGACTGTTCCAAGTCATGACAGACCTCCCCTCCAAAAGGTACTTATGAACCAATTCCAACGGTTGGCAAACCCACAAACTCACAAGCACATTTCAGGCTCTTGGCAAACTGCCTAACCTGTGTCGTCAGATGTAGTGTTCCAAGGTTACATGATGTGATTTATAATGTTTTTTTGCCACCTGTGAGAATGCCTTGACTTGTTTAATGGCCAAAGTTTGCTAAGCAACTGCTGCATTCATTTTATAGCCACAGCATCTCTTAACAACCAACACAAAAAAGGTTGTAAAATCAGATTCGTCATGTGGGTGCCTCAACATATGATCATCATGACTTACAAAGAAATTCCAGGCTCCATTATGGTCATCAGTCAAGGACTAGTTACAACATGCTTAAGCCACTTCACCTGCAGCCACATATGTCCATCACTGGGATTCTATTTAAAACCACAGAAGATAACATCCTTGCAGGCAAAGGTTATATTTGGAGGTGAGGCTGGGGTGGGGGGGAGTTTTTGGACTACATGAAGCAGGCCCAGTGATGTCACCTGAGCCGAGTGGGGTAATTTTCCAGCTTATTTGGTGGGTGAAACTGACTAAAAAAATCTGTCTTTTAAGCTTCCATTTAGGAAAAATGAGCTGGGATGATGGGACAGAGTGCAGAGGGCTTTCAACTTCAACAATGCTTATGGTTCTCAATTCACCCCTTTAAACCCTA